TATATATATATATATATGTTTATCACAATAAATGATATTATCAACAGTTTAAGGATTTTTATTTTTTGGTCTCTTACTTATACAAATTATAAAACCACAAAGCTTTATGCTGTAAAAGCAGGAAGGTGGTCACTGCACAAAGATAATTATTTCTCATGATCCCTTGCTTCTAGTTTTGTACAGCTGTCAATATACAATAGAGCAAATATGTACCTGTTCCTTTTCATTATTTTTAATTGATAACATAATTGTAATTTTTACCTTCTATGTAAGTTACAACCAAACATATATGCATATTGTACTGTTAAAGGAGACATATTCTCGGTAATTTAAATATATATTTAAATGAAGCATGTTTTCACTTATAATAATTGATTCCTTTTGATTATTAAAAAACAGTTTGATAATTTTTCTTCTACATCTTCAAGTGAAATCAGATGCTGTATTTTTATAATTTTACATTTGTTGTAGGAGAAGAAATAATTTGTAAATGAAATGTGTTATATTTCTTTATTAATGTTTTTAAAGGATGATGCTTGCAGAATACTATATTCTTTTTATCTTAAAACCCGTTATAGACAATACCTTTTTTCAGTAAAATGTTATTTCTTTTGACAGGTGTATTTCTTTTCTGTTTAGCAGAATTTTGGGTGTGACTTAAATGTTACAAATTAGAACAAGATATATATATTTACTTTTATCTTGGAAAAAGGATTTGATGGATTACCTGGTCAGAAAGGAAATCAAGGTCCACAAGGAGTAGGACTGCCTGGACCTCGTGGACCAAAGGGAGACAGAGGTCCTACTGGGCCTCCTGGGATTCGAGGATTTGATGGCCAGAAGGGTGAACCAGGGTTACCAGGCATGCCAGGTGACAGAGGTTATGATGTAAGAAACCTATAATTTTTTATGAGCTTGTTTTGATTTTAATTAGTTTCTAGACATCAATTTTTATAACATCTTATATGTACATGACCATTTTATAGAGAAAAGTTTATATTATGTAATATATGCAAAGGAATTGCACTCTACATGTTAAAGATGATTTTGATTAAGAGAAGTCATTTTTACACTAGCTGTATAATTCAAGTTTGTTTCACTGTTACTTGAGCTTTTTCAATGCTTGTTTTTCTTGGAATGCTATTATATTACTTAATGACAAGTAATATTCTTCAGTATAATTAGAATTACAATCATTAATTTTTGTATAGTGAGAGGTTATCTTTTTAGGCCACCCAGAATGACTGGTAATATGAAAAGAAAGTATCATCTGATCCACATGTTTTTAATAACATATTAAAACATTTATTTCTATGGGCTAAATAACTTGTTTTATCTTGGCACAGTAACAACCAACATACAGCATAAACCATTCTGGAAATATTAACAAATTCTGAACAGGAGTTTTATTATTTAATGGGTAGCATTCAAAACGAATCAGAGCTGTTTGTCCAATGGTGTAATTAAATTGAAGAAGTATGAAGTATTTTAATACCTGGTGTTCATTTATATGATTCAGCGTTAATAAAAAGAAACAAATATATAAGTTACAAAATGAAAATAAGGTACTATACTTTTTGTACAAGTTAATTATATACTTTGTGTAAGATCCATTTAAAGGAACAAAGTTTATAGACTTGTTGGTAAGTAGATAGCTATAAACAAATAGCAATATTTTTTTGCTAACTTCTTATTATAAATATTCCAAACAACATATGTTGACAAATGTTTTATCTGATAAAGTTATTATTAAACACACTCAGCTTTAATGATGATAAGCCTTGCCTAAAGTAAAGTTCCTGATTTCTGTTCATTTGAACCTGTATTTTCTTCATAGAACATTGAATGTGAAAATGATAACAAAGCTTAATGCACTTGTAGGTATACTGACAATATTTTTTAGCTAAAATGTTCAGGTTTTCTGACATTACCAAAATAAGTTATGCACTAAAACCAAAAAATGAAAGTTATTTGGCAATAAAAAATGTAACTTACTTCTCAGAGTTATAAGTATCACTAATGAAGCATTAAGAATTCTTAATTAAACAAATGCTTTTAATTTCAAAGCTATAAAGTTTTCATATTCTTATACAAATGCTCCAAATTCTCCTCATAGTTCATTAGATATAGTGGAATTGCTCTACATTATGACATTTTATAGCCTCACATGAACTCTCATTTTTTACAAGTGAGGATTCTTCTTCCCATTGCTTGATTTCTAGAAAAAGAGGCACCAGATCCATATCTATGGGTGTGGAGAAGATTAAATTTTTAGTTTGTGAAGATAACAATTCAAAAGTTATTGCGGCTGTTACTTTGGATGGAGCTGGAGGAAAGTTATGTAGTTAATGGCATTAGTCAAATATAAATTTTTCATTCAATCAAGACAGTCTTGAACTAATTATAGTGTTTCTACCATTATATTTAAAGGAGAAATCTGGCAGAAATTAAACGCTACTCCCATCATATTTTGAGCACCAAGTTTATTCAATTTTGTGATATTAACACACTTTTTTGTTGATGCTTATGAGATTAAAATAGTTTACAGACTCCCATGAGCTTTTCAGATCTTTCGTGATTACACCTTAATTTTTTAACTATATAAGTTTTGAATTTAATAAAGAAATAATGAACAATTTTGGAGTCCCAGGTGACTGTTAGTATAACAGTTCATTATACAGAATGTTATTACCTCAGTCATTTAGTTAGATTAGAACCTGTGAATACTATGGTGATATCTACTTAGTTCAAATGCATCTTGTACATTTTGGCTAATCCTTGGTTAACTGTATTACTCTGGCTACCAGCTCTTTTACTTGACCGTGTATTTGGTAACTTGTTTACATGTGTCACTTACAATAAATTCTCTAGCTTTTTACTCATGCATACCTTTGATGAATTTAATTCTGGTGTTTTTATTTTACAAAATTATTACTCAATTTTCCAAAAGTGTACTTCCTCCTTTCACCCAAAGCTATCTTGACCTTGATTTGCCCTCTAAGATTGCTAAAATTTTCAATAGTGCACCAGTCTATTATACCCCTTCACTTTTGCACCATTGCAGCAATGTGTGTTGATCGTATGACTATCCTCCACCAATCATACTGCACCCTCTATACTGGCACAGATAGCTTCCTCTACCATTGCAGCACAATCCTCACTTTCTCGGTTGGCATTCTAGTGTATAGACGTGTGTTTTAACTCATTCTCCATGTGATTGATCAAAAATTTATATCAGTTTCGACTTCTTTTGTTTGGTTTCCATTGTTTCTACTTGCTTCTTTTTTAAATGTTTATTGTTTCCGAATTATACTTTGTTCATATGAATTCTAGATTTAATATGGCAGATGATAATCTTCCTGCCATAAGTATACAATGGTTCTAACACTAGTCCCCAGGACTCGCGGGTTGGTGATTTCTGCTGGGGGAGCACAGGCTTTCATTCTGAGGGGAATTTCATGTCTTACGTTTAGCCAACGATTTTTCTTTTCAAGTTATGATTTCTGTGCAGAGGAATAGAGCTACTCTATGGAAAGTTTCTTTCTATGGCACTTTCCACCTGCTACCATTCCTCCTTGTAATCTGCTGGGTTAGGTATTGTTCTTTTTCCTGGGAGATCTGTGGTAAGTTTTCAGTGTGCATTTCTCATTTCCTGTAGATATACTCTTGTTCAGTGAGATTATGTGAGCTCATGTGGATAGATCTAATTTATTTCCTTGATAATTTAGGTCATTCATATCTCCTCTGCTCAGTGTTGGGTTAGTTCGATTTTTATACTTCTTTTACCATCTAGGTTACTTTAGTTTAAAACTTGCATTTGAAGTTTATTTATTCTTTTATTTTTGTTTAAATTTTTACTTCTTTTCACAGCTAACTTTATTTAGTTTGTAAGTTCTTTTTTTTTGCTACTAGTCACATCTAATTGGAGATTTGGTTTGAAGTCAAACTTTGTTATTGTTAACTGGGTGCCATTTTATTCCCATAATCTTCAGGGTAGGTTTTATTTTTCTGTCTTTTGTCTTATAGATTCATTGAGTGGACATATAAATTTGATATTTAAGGGTCGTTTCTCTTCTCAGTTCCTTTAGTAGTTTTGTACTTTAGGTTTGATTTATTGTTTTATGTTTTTGGTCGAATTTCATAGTTTTGCATGTTTATTTTTCTGTATGTTTCTAAGTTTTCTTAGTTCATTGGTAATGAGTACTTTCTTTAAATTCTTTAGCTTCTGTGTCTTTTTGCCTACACTCATGAAAATTTCATGGTTTATATGGGTTCTATCTGTGGGTTTCTTCCTTCCATTCACTCCTAGTTCTCCTTCTCTCCTCTCGAGATTGCATCTTGTCCAGTCATCATGCCGAGTATGGTCGAGTCCTTCTACACAAAGCAGATATCAAAGAGATGGTGCCCAATCAACCAGGATTTTAATCCCGTCTTTGTTTTGTCTCCAAAAACACGGGTGTTTGGAGTCGTATCATTGATGTGTTCTGGCTGTATCATTATCTGTAGATGCATTGCTTCACTGTAGAGTTCTATCTCTCACTTTGATGAGTTTTTTTGCCTTATCTTTTTTCATTTGGTTCATCTACAAGGGTTCTGTTATCTAGTTCTGGACACTACCATTCTGTCTTTCTTCAGATCTGTTTGTATTTTGGTCGAATGGTATGCTATTTTGCACATCATCTTTGCATTCTGGGTCTTCAAACTCACCATTTCATGTTCCGAGTCTGTCACTTACACCCGCTTTTTGGTGGGTCATGTTCCTGAAGTTATGAATCTTGTGGCTGATCTCTTATTATGTCCCAACCAGATTCTCCTCAGAAATGTCTCTTTATCCTCATGTATTTCTGTGGGTGGGTTCTCAACAGACACCACATAAATTTATATGTCTCCCACTCACTGGAATACCAAACTTCCTTCCTTTTTGGTCTCGAGTTCCTCACCCCTCAATTCTGGGGGTGGATGCTTTCAGTCAAGATTGGAGGGTTCTTCACCTATGTAACTACCCTCTGATCAGACTCCTCTTCTGTGTCTTTTCCCTTATCCAGACCACTCATTGTTGTGTTCTGCTGGTTGCTCTGTATTGACTGGGTTAGGCCTTTACTGGAGCAGCAGATCTGCCCTTTTTGCAAGTTTCGAACAGTAGTCCACCCGTTACCCTTATCAGCTGCTCATGGAGGCACCTATAATTGGCTGTTAATTCAGTTTGAGAGGTTCTTACTGTGACCTATCGAATATCTTTTCCATTTGGGTGTTTTTCTTTTTTCCACATACATCTCAGTTGGGCCAGCCCTACTCCTCCTTAACTTCGTTCAATGGGTTTTCAGTTCGATTACAGCTCATGAAGTTCTATAACTTTTTTTTGGGGGGGGAGGTGATCTTCCATGGTAGCCCTTATCCCCTTATGTCATATGTGAGCTCCTTTGTAAGCTATTCATGACCAATGTAATTTTGCACATCGGCAGGTGTCCCACTTCCTCCTCCTTCTTCATGAATGCATCCCTTTGGGGATGGGGGCATGGGTTGATCAACTGGAAGATTCAGGATTTTTGGTCTGAGCCTGAGAGGTCTTATTCTATCAAATCCTGGAGCTTCTCAATGTAGGTCGTGTTTTGGTTCATTTTCTCCATCTGGCCAGAAATCCTATGGTATTCTGATTTTTCTTTAGTGGTTGCTTATCTCAATCACCAGGGTGGCACCCATTCTCTATCTTTGTCTATTCATACGTTGGATCTTCTTTTTGGTCCTACATGCTCAATATTCCTATCATTGTGTGTCATGTTCTGGGTGCTTTCACTCTTGTCATGGATTGGATTCCTGTCCAGACAACATTTATCTGACACAGTGGTCTCTCCGTTCTGTTGTTTTCCAGTGGCTTTGACTTCAATGGGATATTGCTAGCACACAAAAATATAGTTAATAAAAGGGAAACAAACAAGTACAATAAAAATGTATAATTTTATAAAGACAGTAGGGGTTTATATATATATGCAACATAGTGAGCTATAGTAATATAGAAAGTTTTAATGCTATAATTTCAGTTTTTAAGAACATTTTTTGTATATTAATGTATGCAACACAGTAAAGTTGGTATGAGCTTTTGTGGTTTTATAGGATTTAACCTTTTTTTCAGCAACTAGAAGGCAAGTTAAGAATATATCTTAATGAGTCTATATATGACCTATTTTGAAAGTAGGAAATATGCTTGTTAAATAAATGTCCAATAGTTAATCTGTGACGTACATATATCATGGCTTAACAAATCATGGGAAATTTTTACAGTTCATTGAATCTGTTGACTCTGTGCAAATTTATGTTATGGCTTGCACTAAATTTATTGAAAAAAGAAAGATAATTATTTTTCAACCCCCCCTCCCCTTCCCAAATTGAAACAGTGTGCAATCAACACTTATACAATGTGCTGGGAAGGTAGGACACAACACCCTTAAATATCACAGAATATCTTTACTATAATCATAAAATTTGAGGTTCATTTCCTGCAAGGGCACAGCACAGATAGCCCATCTTGCATCTGTGCTCCTTGAATAAGTATGATACAGATAAACAATATATATATCATGGTAGAGTCAGATGTATTTGCATACCAAAATCTAATGATTTGATAATGTGAAGGGAACTTATAATGTTGGGATTGGATAATTTATATAAATTATTTTTTTCTAGTTTTTCACAATATATTGTTAGTTTTACATGTACACAGAGGCTTTCCAATTTTGATATATGGAAGATAAAAGTTACAATACATTTGATGTGTCTTCTGGCAGAGAAAGTTTAAATTTTATGTCAACAGTTTTGAAGGATATGCATCACCATATAATTTTTTTTAACTTATTAGTCAACATTTGTGGGATTCAGTATAAACTGAAGAATTCTTAAGATAAAACAATAAAACCCCATAATCTGAGCACTTTCAAAAGGTCCACCTTTTAAGAGTGCTCATGGGTTACAGGGTTTTGTCATTTTGTATTAACAAAGATGTAATGCTTTTAGCAATTTTTTGAAAGGTAAACTTAATTAGATATGAATTAGAAAATGTGCATTTGCCGGATGTTTTTAAGGTTTTTTGTACCAGCCTATTTCTTTATTTGTTACATTTCTAGCATTTTGGATCTACTAATGCTATGTTAGTACACAATTCAAAAATAATGTTATGAACATTGGGTATTGAAGTGTCAGTGGTCCTAGTAAATTTTCTGGTGAAAGGCTATTTGTAACTTAATCTTTTTTCCACATTGAGATGTAAAACAGAACTAAAAATGAGCTGGAATCTTACTTTGTTGTGTTGACAGGTAGAAATTATTTTACTATGTGTACACTCTCAAAACAAAGAATCTTTATTATTCAATAATACTTTAGCTTAATGTTCAAATCTTACTTTTTTGCATAGTGGATATATTTTTGATTATAAACATAGTATGTATGTATGTCTGTATATATGTGCTGCCAAACACCACCTGAAACTTCCCTTTTTTTTCATGTCATTCAAGAAGCTCATTGTGTATTGTCTAACTACAATTTGATTATGTTTCTAGAAAGTTTTTCTTCTCTGTGAAAAATGTATGTGGAATTAATTGATTAAGAGGAGAGAAGCTGCTGTAATTATATTCGAACTGAAAAAATTTTAGTCACCGTAGCAAATCAGCATTGCCAAAATATCTGATTCTATTACTCAAATAAAATCTACTTTAAGTAATTAATGTTTGTAAAAGTATTATTGACATGCAATTTTTTTCTGAAAAATACTGTAAGTACCAATTTGGTTAGGTCAATTACATATCAGTTGTTTTTCATTTATGTAGACATTTATATAACAGTATGACAAATATCTGTCTTTTGTAAGCTTTTGAAATGTTTGTGAACAGGGAAAGCCTGGACCAAGAGGACTTCCTGGGCTACCTGGAATTGATGGGCCTCCAGGACCCCCTGGAAAACCTGGTGACATTGGTTTGCCAGGGTTCCCTGGGCCAAAAGGAATTCGAGGAGCACCTGGTATACCTGGTTTAACTGGACCAAAAGGTGATGTGGGACCACCAGGTAGAGATGGTATTCCTGGATTGTATGGCTTAAAAGGCAATAAAGGTGAAAAAGGACTTCGTGGGTTTCCAGGTAAGGATTTGCTGATTGTGACATTTAGAAAAATGTCACTTACAGTTGCCAAAGAAATCTGCCTCACTATTGTGTTAAAAGGAAAAGTAGCAAATGGAGATAAAACTACACATTACTAATGATACAGCACTTGTAGAATTGTAACACACTATTAAATGTCTTAGTAACTAGGAGGAACTTCAAGATTATATCAACAAAAACAAATCTTATCATAACAAGTATAGGCAATGCAGAAAATTTCAGTCAATGTTTAAACCCAAAAAGTCATATCATAATGGATTGAGATTAGATAATGTATTATCTAATGAATTTTTGACAATGTTTACACCCAAAGCAATCTATATCAGAAAGGATTGAGGTTTGGTAATATATAATTACATTAAGAACAGAGATTTCATAAGATGGATATTTTTTGGAGACATACAAGTCAACTCACCTATTTTTAAGGCAGTACCACATGGGAAACCACCCCTGGACACAAAATGACATAGACTATTAGAAAAATGGGACTGTTTAACTGATGGATGCCATGTCAAGAATGTGACTGTGATCCTGTAATATGGTAGGCCTACATCTGGTATGTTGTTGTTGCAGTATGACAGGACCATATTCAAACATGTACAAAGTCATCATCTGTTTCCCACTACCTGGAAGAGGGGGACTGTTAATTTACCATTCACTCATTGTCTTTAGCATAATCCACACAGTTTCTCCCCATCCAGTGGTGTCCTATATGCACCTGATCCTGAGGGAAAAGACATGGTGACCCAGACTGGGTTTGTCTCTCTAATATACTTGAGTAGATATACTGCCTATTTTTATCACGTAGGCATTTCAGCATAATTTTTTAGCAGGTGGGTGGGTGTAATATATATTGTACTTTCTAGTAGGTTTATTTCTTTGTAGAAGCCAATCCATTTTTTACTATTGTGTCATATGATGCTGTGCAATGGCATGAGGTGCTACCATAGAAATGAGTGAGTGGGTGGGAAAGATTGTAAGTTGTCTGAAACTGTCCACCCTATTAGGTTTCTTTTGTTACCAAACCTAAATCTGTTTGAAAGATCTGTTGTGGGTGTTCAAAGTTGACTGGGTTGTTGATACTTCCCATGTTAAACTTTTTCTTGTTGACACAATTTCAAGGCTACTAATGATCTCTGAGACATTTTACTGTATTCTCCTATTCTACAGTTAATGTACCCTTAGCTTTGTATAACTTTGACTGCAACTTGCCATTTTTCATATATAACATGGGACTGGAGTAGATTTTTGTAGCAACAGTAGATGGTCCTTTATAAAAATGACATTCATGCAAGCTCATAAAATTGTATGGAAAGTTTTTCAGATAATCTGTAAATTCTTTTATATCTTACACGTAGCTACTATGAAAGAGGAGATTCTTTGAGGTGGTCAGTTTTTAAAATGATTTAACATTTGTTCACCTAAACTATAAATAGATAAGGAGCTTTAAGGCTTGATTTTGTAACACAGAATTCATGTGAATATTTTCACAATTGTTTCTGATTGTCATCTAAGGTATGATATTTGAATAAGAAAATAAGTAGACATTGTTCATCAAAATTATGTAATATCTTATGCTTGGATGTAACTACATATTAGGAACAAGTTTTAGTGTATTATAGTTTATACTAAGTTTAGATTGTATTTTAATCGTGATGATAAGGTTAAAATGGACAATAACTATCAGCTGAACCTATTTTTTCAAAGTTCTATGAAAGTTTACTGTGCAGAAAGGTAGTAATAAAGGTATTACATTTACGTTTCTTTTTAGATATATTTTATCAGCACTTTATAGAGAAAATTGTACTCATTTATTGTTAATTATGCAACCATATATATCAAGGAATTATCATTATTGATGAAAATGGTCCAAGACACCACTGTCAAATTTAGTAATACAACTTTAAACTGGATGTTTCTTTTTTTTTACTGTTTACACAATCTTTTCTTTGTATTTTGTTAATTTTTACTTTGTAAGGACAAGGGTTTGGAGAAAAAGGTGACAGAGGTCCTCCCGGAACAGAAGGTTCAAAAGGAGAAAGAGGAATTACTGGACCTCCTGGATTTCCTGGTAAGAATTCATTCTTATAATTAGTTTCAAAATGTTAGAAATGTACTCTTATTTAAATTCCAACAGATTTATTAGTTATTTTTCTTGCTTTTAAATTTCTTAAACAAGTATTAGTTAAAAGAGCCATTAATGCCTTTAATAGCAAATTTTTACATGCTTGAAAATCTATATGTAAAAAAGTTAAATTTCCATGATTGGGGTCTTTAAGATTACTTATGGCAGATGTGTTAGAGTAATATTAGGCACTCTCTTCTTTTTTTTTTATAAGTTTATATTTCTAAGCTATATAGATTTCTATTAAAAGTTTGTATTTATTTTGGTCACTAAGTAGAAGCATGCCAGCCATATCCATTGTTCTGACAGGTAAAACATGTTTAAAAACCTACAATTAAATATCATCTAATTCATATCAGAAGTACATGTATCCATCTTTTTGATGTAAGTATAATAATGTATTAAGTTTTAACCAAGTCCCATTTTTGTTTAAAATTTATGTTTTATAGTATTTCTGTTGAAATTTTAACTTTAAAATAATGCATTACAAGATAAAATAATTGCTGTTTATTTGCAATATGAATGTGATTCTATTAATGTATAAAGTGCTTTAATGTTTTTAATCTCAAAAATAATTGTAAATGTTTGTATCATACTGTTTATTTAAAAGTTTTAGTTTCCATTTGCTTATAAAGTCACCTCCAAAGGCCAAGATATATTTTGTATTTCCTACATTGTAGCCTGTACTCTGGAGACTTCATTTCTTTTGGTTATGCAACATTATATTTTTATTAAGGTTTGTTTTAGATAATAATTATATATATTTGTTTACACACATAGAGGTGAGTACATTATATTAAAAATATTTTGGCATTTCACCATGTTGTGACATTCTGCCATGATCTGTGCATTTTGAGAATAGCCCTACAGCATAGCTTTTATTGCAAAAGGCCTGCTGTAAGGCTATTATATCCAAAACATACTACTTCCTGCATGCTTTTAAACCATTTAGTGCATGAATATGACAGTTTTCTGGTATCTGTTTCAAAAGTCTCTTCACATAGAAATCTGTGAAGACTTGACCAGTATGTCTTGGTATTGAATAGCAAGAATGCCTGTTTCATTTTCCAGTTGCTTGAAAATGGTTGAACAGAAGATATAATTAGAAGCCATATCTGGTGAACTTAAACTCTATTTCCTCATATTTTCTATTTCCTAAAGGTATTACTCATGATAGAAGTCCCTCTTGAGCAATAGCTTTAGTTTTGAATTTAGTTTCACACTAGAAATCTTAGTTTTCATTTGTGTACAAAGCACCATCATTGTAATCTATATATGTATACAATTGATGCAGTGTGTAGTATTATATCTGTTTTATTTACATATCTCACTTTGAGTTTAAGTGAATAAAATTGAAAAACACAAGATATTTTTAGTGAGTTTTTTGTTGTTGTTTCAAAGGTGAAAAAGGAGATCGTGGCCCAAGAGGATTAGATGGACTTATTGGGAAAGACGGACCTGCAGGATTACCAGGTAAACTTTTGTTTTATAGAACTTTATGGATGATAGGAATAATCTACATATGCATGTTATCTCAACTTACAATTAAACTCATTTACAGTCTAGAAATATAAAGGAGCTTTCTTCTTTTGAAATTTAATATATAATTCTCCATCTTAAGATGAATCAGTCTGTAACTGTATAACATTTAATATGTGTATACAGGAGAACCAGGACCTGTAGGTCCCAGAGGACCACCAGGTGAACCAGGCCATTCATATCGAGGAGAACCAGGAATTCCAGGTAAACCAGGTGAGGATGGACTTCCTGGAATTGATGGAAGTAAAGGTAAGTTTCCTAATCTATATTATAATAACATCTTGGGCTTGAGTGTGGGTATATTTATAAAATACTAATTGCAGTTTGTTTGAAGAAGTGACACTCTTTGTACATATCTGCTACAGTAGTTGAGCATAGACAGCATTTATAGTCAGGATTGTGGATCCAAGGGTCCTTTGCATCCTTATCCACCAAAAGAAAAAAATAATTGCTTTACACTTTGTGGCCTTGGTGCATTATAAGGGTGATGATGAAATCACACCATTCAGTCAGACAGGAGTAACTGGGAGGTGCTGTTAGCTAGCTGCCTTCTGTCTAATCTATCTTTGCATGATTATTGAAAAATAAACTTATTTTCGTATAAATGGATAAATCAATCACCAGAACAAGTTTCAGGGCAAGTGGATAACCATGTGCCCTCATGGAATGCTCATTACACTCACAGCATGTAATTGTATGTACACTCTCTCATAAATTAAAACCGATGAATCAGTTTTCTTTGAAGATACTGTGAACTTTGAGTGATATTTTGAAACGTATAATGAGAATATTAACCTTTCATAACAGTTATGGATTTAAACCTGTCACAAACATGGTTCCATCAAAAAAAGTGGCCAGACTCAAACTGACAGTATTGTTCTGGATATGGTTTCTGACATGTTTAGTGACCAGAGACTTTAAGACAGATTCCCACAGTGCCATGAAGGAGGGCTTTCTTTGTCTCTGGATTTCAGTCCCAGAAATTTATAGTTACTACATTGTTTTGAAAGACCATGTATATTGAGACAATCCTCATGCTCTAAGACCTGAGAAATAAAATTCAACACAGTCTCCAAGTAATTCATTTGAGTTCAACATTAAGTCATGTGATAGTGAATGCTTCCCTTCACTTGCAGAATGTGATGCATTGGCCACATTGTGTTTGATGATACGACTTTTTGATTTATCTAGTATCAATTTTCCATGCTTTTTTAACTTTACCCAAGTTTTATCATATTGTTGCATTATTACACTAAAAGTTATTTCAATAGGAAATTAAGAAATGTTTAAATGATTACTCATTATATTACACATATCCTTTTTTTCCAATTCTAGATAAGTAAAGATTATTTCCAAAACAATGTTGTAAATGGTAGTCAACATTTTTATTAATTCACTAATACATTTTTTAACTACATATGGATAAATACTGTAGTAAAATGGCACCAGAGTGAGCAGCCTTAAGTTTTTTTTTTTGAAGATGTCACTCAAAATTTACTAACTTCATATATATTTGTTTTGTAGGAGAGCCAGGTCGACCTGGTCTACCAGGACAGCGGGGAGAGCCTGGAGATCCTGGATATGTGGGTCATCCAGGTCCAAAGGGAGATCTTGGCCCATCAGGACCACCAGGACTGCCAGGAACAGGATTTCCAGGCCCTAAAGGAAGTACTGGTTTCCCTGGAATTCCAGGACAGAAAGGAGATAAAGGATTTGAAGGCCTTCCAGGACCCCCTGGTTTACCTGGAGTTTCAGGAAGACCAGGTTAAATCTATTCTCCCAGATGTATTATATCATTTTCAGTTTTTTTTATAACTGTGTGTAAAAGACTGTGAATTTGGTACTGTTTTTATGCAGTCTATTACAATACAATTTATGGATGTTCTCTCTTTTCTCTATTAATATTTGCTAATAAGTTATCATTAAAATCCAACATGTGTTTAGAAAGCTAGGAAATACTGTATTGAAATCCATAATCCTACACATAATAGTTAGTAAAAGTAATGTTTGTCAACATTCTCATTGTTTTCACCCTCTGTATGGAATCAGTTTATTTCAGTTTTGATCACAATTTTTCAGAACAAACATAAGACATAGCAGTGGGATCTATTGTTTCCTCAGGTTTAAATGATATTTATAATGGACAAGTTGAATGACACACATGCATCTGCACTTGCAAACTCTGAAAAATGGATGATATATATTGATTTACACCTATTTTATAAGAACTTTATTCAAACTTGCTCGAGAACCTCCTATTTTAGATGAATTTGTAACATTTAAGTATTATCTTCACAATGGAAACTGAAATCAGTAAAGAATTCTCATTCCTAGGTGTCTTACATTCAAAAGATCACATTTTTCTTATTTCAAATCCTCTCATCCTCAGTAGTTTAGCGTGGTATCATTCACACCTTACAAAAGCAAACTGAAGACCTTTGCAAATTCAATAATCTCCAATTAGTCAAAGAACCTACTAGAAACAATGCTATTTTAGATTTATTGTTAACTTTAAATATAGAAATGCTTGAGAGGGTAGAAATTGGGGAGCATCTGGTTGCAAGTGATCATTGCTCTGTTAGGTTCAATGTTTTGCTACATATGGAGATAAGGAATAATGATATTTTGATTACAAATTTCGAAACAAATTTTGAAGGGATGCAACAAGAATCATCTGTTGTGAATTGAGCAGCTGAGTTATTTGGAAACACTGATCAGATGTGGAATTTTTTAAATATTCAAGGTAAACATATTCCTCATAGAAAGAAAAGGGTAGCTGCAAGTAGAGAAATCAGGTTGGCTCACAAAGAGTATAAAAAATAAAATTAAAGAAAAGCATCATAAAATTAAGAAATTTAAATTGGCTGGTATTATGGGAGATTTAGAAGATTATAGAAGATCAAGAAAGTTGGTGAAACAGGAAATTAAGACATCAAAAAGGATGTATGAGAAAAGATTGGCTGAAAATGTAAAAATTAATTGTGAGGATTTCTTTAAGTACATTAAGAGTAAACAGAATGTTAGGATGGGGGTAGGACCCTTGAGGGATGATAAAAGAAGGTCATATCTGATGATTATGAGATGGCTGGGTTATTAAATTTTGC